CCTCTCACCAAAATTCCCCGGACTATCCCGCAAAAGGGATTCCAACTCGTCCAGCGTGACGAAGGTACTGCCGGCCGATCCACTAGACGGGCCCCCACTCCGTGAGCCCGCACTCCAGCCTGCCTAATCGCTGTGTGGCGAGTTAGGTGCCAGACTTCCGTGATCTCCTGAATTCATTGCAGTAAATATCTGAAAAATTCACCTGTTTTTCCGCCTTCTGCGTGCCGCCGCTGCCACCAATGTAGCGTAGAACAATTCTGGGGTTCCTCACACGCACTCAAAAAGGACTGCAACACAGGTATACTCGTTTCTGCTGGTTCTAGGCTGTTTATTCCTCACAAAAACGTACACCGCAAAACACAACTATTCTCTTCAGCAACGAGGCAACGACAATACTACTGCGCATGCGCCGCCCGGAAGAACGGGACTCCCCGGCCGGCCACCAGGGGCTCCACTGCGCGGCTCCACCGTGGAACCGCGCTGGTGCCCTCTGGCGGCCGACCGGCACGGACGCCACAATATCTATTCTTCTTCATTCATTCATTCATTTTCATGATGACTTGATAAGTTGGGCCCAACTGTCCCTGTCGAGCATAGTGTTGGAAAGAGATGGACCACTCAGACCAGTTTCTAGCTCGATGGATGTTTTCAGGGTCATGTTGGGACGACCTTTTCGTCGAGGGGCTTCAGGATTCCAGAGGAGAACTCTACTAGCTGGCTCATTATGTCGATAAACGTGACCGGCTAGCCGAAGGCGACGCTGTCTGATGGTGGTGGAGATAGGGGGAAGGGCACCATACAAAACAGAGTTAGGGAGATGTTGTTGCCAAGAAACGTTCTGAACAGCCCGAAACATCCGTGTATAGGTGCCATCAATGGACGCAGAGATCTGTTTGGTCAGTGTCCAGGACTCGCAACCGTAGAAGAGGATGGATTCTACTGAGGTCTTGAAGATTTTAAGTTTGGTGGTCTTGGAGATCAAGGATCTCTATACTTTGGTCAGTGAGAACAGAGCAGACCAAGCTTGAGCTTTTCTACACTCGATGTCATGAGCTGTGTTGGTGTAGGAGCCCAGATACTTGAAGTCATCAACTTTATGGAGCTTACTGCCACCTAGTGCAGTGACGTCATCAGAGGTAGATGGGTTGATGGCCATGTACATGTACTCAGTCGTCTTTGCGTTAAGATAGAGACCAACGGACTTGCAGCAAGCTCCTACTTTATGGAGGAGAGATTCGGCATCAAGGAGGGTGTCTGCAAGCAGACTAATGTCATCTGCATAATCTAGGTCGGATAGATATTGGGCAGGATGTCTACTACTCCTACGGCGTGAGAGGGTGAGACCATCGGTTACACTTAATGCTGTCCGCAGGGCATAATCCACAACTATGATGAAAGGTACGGGGCGAGAGGATCACCTTGAAGAACTCCAGTGTTGACGGAGAACGAATCTGGAAGCCTCCAAACTTAAACTTTAATAGGTATGTTGTCCAGACCAGGAGCCTTGCCAAGCTTCATTTGTTTAATGGCTATGTTGACCTCGGCTTGGGATAATTTGCCAGTTGGGATGTTAGGGTTTTGATCAAAGACGGGATCAATGGAGACTGGGTCATTGGAGGCATTATCAGAGCTGAGAAGCTTCTCAAAATGGGATTTCCAAGAGGCAAGTCGATCATCACCTTGAATGAAAACAGTGCTTGGACGTTTACCAGAGAGCTGTTTCCAGGCATTTTGGATGGAGTTGGTCGATTCCCACTCGTCAAAAGCACTGAGGATGTTGTTGACTCTGAGGTCTTCTTGCTCGTCATACACACAACTGAGGTTGGATTGAGCAGCAGGAAGATTGGTTGGTAAGGAGGTGAGTGCCTTTGTTCGAGCTACATTGACTGGTGTCGATGATGCAATGTTAGGTGGTCGTTTGGTTTGTGATGGAAGGAGAGACTTCCCAACACTCTCACACACTTTGACGAAGGAGCCATAAGATTGGTCGTCAGGGCACAATGAGGACCACTCATGGGTGATACGGTCCTCAATAGAAGATGCAAGTTCTCTATCTGAAGCCATTGCAGACCAGTTCAGTCTAGGACGGGCAGTAGGTTTTGTGGAACTGTTCTAAAGACGGCAGGACTAAAGTGTAGCATTCACTGAGAGACGTTTATTAACAGCCCGTAATAACATCATTGAATATGGATACGGTGGCCGCGTAATGCCACTCCATAACATCCCCTTTCCTTAAGATAAGGAACAGTCTTTTGTTGTTGCTGAACTTTCACTTGAGACTGAGTGTAAAGTGTGGTCTGTTACAGTGGTGATCACGAACGCTAAACTTTTGTGAATAACTCAGCAAACACTATGAACGCTTTAACACTAGAACGTATTTGGAACAGCTCTAAACCTTTAACACTACGTAGTAATTAGGTTAGTTTAAGAACAACTTTAGTAAAAGCAACTTTAACCAATAAACTGCATGCAAGCGTAGTCTATCTAAACTAAGTGTTGGCCTATGGCCCTAAGGCTTTGTGGGTGAGTGTCCCAAAGTCAGATTTATGACTCGATAAGTCTCTTTGGTGGTCTGGAAATGCGACCGGATCTGGTGATGGTAGCGTTGGTGTTCAGTCCTGGAGGTTTGTCTGTCGGAGTGGAAGGCACATCTTGTGCCTTAGCGACCGGAATGGCGCACTCGAGTTGGGTGGCTCGGTGCTAGCTGGTCGCTGCATGAGCTGAGGTTTACTCACGCATGTGACTGGTGTTGTAGGTTGTTTAGCGTTTTCCCGACTGTCTCTGAGGTGAACGCGGTTGCGTCTGTAGCATTTGCTACCGACTTCTACGATGTAGCTGCGTGGCGCAACTTTGGCTTTTATCACTCCCGGGGTCCATGGGGAGCCTTCATCCTTGGGTCGAGTTTTGGCGCGAACTGGCTGTCCGACAACCAGATCAGGGAGGCTTTTGGCAGTGCGGTCGTGATACAGTTGAGCTGTCTGTCTTTTGGTCACGACTTGCTCGGTGACGGCCTCTACAACCTGGGGCTTGTACAGTGAGCTCTTGCAAAGAAGGAATGAGCGCGTTCGTCAAGACATTAAGCGCTGTGCCGGAGAGCTGGACATTCCCGGAGTAGTGGTGTTCCTCCATTCAAGGATAGCCTTCCACACGTCACTTTTGTCTTTGGCAGCTTTGGTCACAAGTCCCTTGGCGATTTTGACAGCGGACTCTGCTTTTCCGTTGGATTTGGAGTGGTAGGGGCTTGAGGTAGTGTGTTCAAAGTCCCAGTCATTCGCGAACTGAGTGAACTCGCGTGACACGTAGTTTGATCCGTTGTCTGTGATCATTGTGTGAGGAATGCCGTGGGTGGCAAACACTGGCTTCAGTTCCTTGATTAGCAATTTGGAAGTCATGTCTTCCAGGGCGCGCAAGTCGATGTAGTCTGAGTAGAGGTCTACTAGTACGCAGTAGTTTTGTCCACTGACCTCAAAACAGTCACTCGCGACTAGTTGCCACGGTTTCTTGGGTACTAGGTGTGTCATGAGGGGTTCTTTGGGGAGAGCTGGTTGTGACTCCTGGCAGATTGCGCAGCGTTGGACTGCCTCCACCAGTTCTGTGTGCATACGTGGCCAGTACATTATGTCTCGTACAGTGTTGGTGGTGTACTGCACGCCTATGTGAGATGCATGTGCCCTTGCTGTCATGTCTGCACGGAGAGCTGTTGGGATTACAATACGCGTTCCGCGAAAGATGAGCCCATTTTGTGTTGACAGCTCATCTCTGTATGGCCAGTATTCCCTGATACACAAGGGAACTTGAGCCTTGTTCCCTGGCCAGCCTGCTTGGATGACCTGCATCAGCGTTTGTAGGGTTTGGTCAGCGAGCGTTGCCTTTTTGACTCTCTGCAGACGCTCGTCAGTGACGAAGATGGTTGGTTCCATGTTCTCCAACTCCATGTTGAGCTTCTGCTCCTGAGTGACGAAGAAGATCAGAGAGTCTGGTGTCTGATCTGTGACTTGTCGTGTTGGCAACAATGCTCGCGACAGTGTATCGCTCAAGTACATTCGCAAACCCTGCTTGTACTCTACGTGTAGTGAGTACTTCTGTAGGCGAAGTCGCATACGTTGTAGACGGGCTCACCAAGATTGGCTTTCTGAAGATGTTCATCAGAGGTTTGTGGTCGGTGAGCACGAGCACTTTGTCGCGGCCTAGGATGTATTGCTCAAAGCGCTGTGTGGCGAATACGATTGCCAAACACTCTTTTTCTATTTGAGCATAGTTGCGTTCTGTGGCAGAAAGTGCTCGTGAGGCGTACGCGACTGGGCGGCCATTTTGTGTGATGATGGCTCCTAGCCCAACCTCGGAGCTATCACACTCGATCGCGATGTCTTGGTTGACATCATAGTAGCTCAGTACTGGTGCTTTAGTGATGAGCTTCTTGATCTTGTCCAGGGCCTCGTCATGATGTGTCAAACAGTCAATATGACGTCCTTGTCGGTGAGACGTCTGAGTGGCTCGCATACTGTGCTCAGTTCTGTCAAGAATTTACCCAGATAGGTTACCACTCCGATGAGTCTCAGCACTCCCTGGACGTCTGTAGGGCGAGGCATGTCGAGTATGGCCTTGATTTTCTCCAGGTCTGGAGATAGTCTGTCTGAGCTGAAGACGTGTCCCATGTATGTGACACTGGGTAGCTTGTACCGTAGCTTGGCTGCGTTCAGCTTCAGATTCCGCTCTGTGCATCTCGAGAGAAGAGCGGTGAATGCAGCGTCGTGTGAGGCTTCTGCTTCAGCCTGCGTTTCTTCTGAGCCGTAGACGAGGATGTCATCTGCAATCACTGCGATGTTTTCCAGGCCTTCCAGGCACTCATGGAGCCTGCGCTGGAATTCTTCCGGTGCTGATGAGATACCAAAGGGCATCCTCAACCAGCGGTAACGCCCGTAAGGCGTCCAAAATGTTGTCAGATAACTGGAGGGCTCATCAAGGACGACTTGAAGAAAACCGTCCTTGGCATCTACCACCTAGAAGAGCTTGGCGTTCTTCAGTCTCGGGGCTACTTCGTCTACGGTGGGAATGGGGTAATGGTTGCGCTGAATGGCCTTGTTCAGGCCGTGTGGATCCAAGCATACCCTGATTTTGTTTGGCTTTCTGACGACTACCATGTTGTGGATCCACTTGGTAGGCTCAGTCACCCGGGCAATGGTGCCTTGGGCTGTCATGCTGTCTAGCTTTCGTTTCAGCTCTGCCCACACCGGGATGGGTACTCTGCGCCTGGTGTTCTGTGTTGGAGTGACACTGTGATCAATGTCTATGTGGTAGTGACCTGGTAGCCGACCAAGGCCAGTGAATACGTCTTTGTACTCACCGAGGACCTGTTCCTTGGTTTGAGTCGGTGACTCTGTCACTGCATGCACTAAGCACTCCTGTGCGAACTGCATTAGTCCCAGAGCTTCTGCTGCTTTACCTGACAGCAGAGATGAGGGGGCATCCTCCACGATCTCGAAGTGGATTTTCCTGGTGACCCCTTTGATCTGGCATCTCAAGCTGGCAGCTCCAACAAGATGAATTATTGTGCCATTGTACAGTTTCAGTTTAGTCTTTGATGGCACCGGAGGCGTGTCACTGAGCTGTTTGTAGTCTGTCAGCTTCATGGTGCTGCAAGTTGCACCAGAGTCTAGCTGAAATCTGATGGTCTTTGTCAGATCCCTTGTTGGCGTCTCCACTGCTAGCTCAACAGAGTATTGCTGCTTGGGCTTTGACTGCACTGTATAGATGCTTTCGTCGCTGCCACTTTCGTCTCCATCCATTTGGTGGAGCTCCTGTGTGGATTTCTGTGGCTGACGTTTGGTGCGGTCCTTGCCCGATGACTGGCAAACCTGCGCATAGTGGTTGCGTTTTTGGCACTTAGAGCAAGTTGTCCCGTAGGCTGGGCACTTGCCTTTGCTGTGTGATTTACCACAGTATTTGCAATTTATGTTCGGAGGCTTGCTGGCTTTTCCAGATTTCTGGGTCCGCTGCTTGTTTTTCACAAAGTGTGCTGAAGGTGGATCGCTGCCTGTTCACTGCTGCGGCATATGTCTATGGCTTTCTGCAATGTCAGTGACGACTCCCGCAGCAGACGAGCACGGATGCTGTTGCCTACTCCTCCTATGACCTGCCTGTCTCGGAGCATTTCATCGAGAAGCGCTCCATAATTGCATGTGGTTGTCAACTTTCTCAGCCTGTTCAAGAAAGTGTCAATGTTCTCTTTGGGCTCTTGCTTACAGGAGTTAAACATGAATCGTGTGTACACCACATTGCGTTTAGGGTCAAAATGAGCTCCAAGGCTGGTTAGGATTTGCTGTGGTGACTTTCTCTGTTCCTCTGTTAGTGGCAGATTTTCGTACACTTCATAGCACTCCTTCCCCATAACTGTGAGTAATGTAGCCACATGGATGGAAGTATCTTTCTTATCCAGTTCTGTGGCCACTAGATAGTTCTGCCAACTTGACTTGAAAAATTGCCAGTTGGAAACCTGGTCTCCTTTCATGTCCATTTTCGCCGGTGGGGGAATGAGCGAGTGCGCCATGGTTAATGCAGTGCGTACGTAATGTACACCGTGATGTGTCCGTTACAGGCCTCCGTAGTTTACAGCGAAACGCACGTTGACGACAATGGCGTGAACTCAACGTGCAATGTATACGTACATGTACAGTCTATCGTTCACAGTGTAATACGCACGTGTTCAATGGCGGGAACTCCGCGTGAAAATTGTACAGTTTATTGTTCTCTTGCACAGCCTACCATGTGTGACAGGCTCTCTCTGTGCTGCCGACGGATGCCTTGTGATCCGTTCACCAAGATTGCCGAAGATTTTGCCGGTTATTTTGCGGTAATGGCGCTGGATTCAGCTAATTTCTGACACCATGTTCTAACGACGGCAGGACTCAAGTGTAGCATTCACTTAGAGACGTTGATTAGCACAGACTATACGATGGTCGGAGCCAATTGGGTCAGATGTTGAATACGCTTGAGAATCTAGGATGCTGTTTCTCCAACGTTTACGGCACAGGATGAAGTCAATCTGTGACAGGTACTTGTTAGGTGAACGGTGAGTCCAGAGCTTTTTGGAGGACTTCTGAAATAGTGTGTTGGTAATCAGAAGGTTGTTACGATTGACAAAGTCACTGAGGAGCTGACCATTACGGTTGGTAGTAGAGTGGTAGGAGAACTGCCTTGCAACATGAGCGTTGAAGTCCCCTCCGATGACAAGGAGGGCATGTAGGGGAATGGAGGCAATGGTGTCATTGAGAAATTTGTAGAACCCAGTAGTAGACGCCTCATCACTGGTGTTAGTGGGAGAGTAACAGGAGACAACGTATGTCTTGGGATTGCCTTTGAAGATGGCGAGCATAATTCTGTCGTTGATCTTAAAGATAGAAGTCAGCAGCGGGAGCAGTGATGTTTGAACAGTTATTGCTACACCACCAACGGCTGCACCTTGTCGATTCCGAGTTGCAGAAGAGGTGAAGATGGTTGATGATCCTAAACTAGAGATTCGGATATCAGGGTCTTCAGGTCGATGCACTTGACGGTGATCTTGGATGCAGGTAACAGATAGGTTGTAGTCACATATGTGTTTATTAAGTTCCTCTCTTGATGACAGCGAAGAGAGACTTCGACAATTAAGCTGACCAAAAAGGATGGTTTTCCTAGGTCGAGCAAGACCCTTCCGGAGACTATTTTTATCAGACGATGCCCTCCCAAGAGGGTTTCGGACGCCGTCGTCATAAGATAGAGTGTCAATAGTTCAGTGAGAGGGCAGATTTTAAGCAGGGGCTTGAACTCATCATGTTTTCTATTATTATAGTATTAGTTTTCTTTGGTAAACAAATACGGAAGCCAGTTCGTGCCTGGTTTTAAAAGCGAAATAACCCCTAGTATAGTTTTGCAAAATAATAAAATAAATTGGCGAAATAACGTAATATAATATTGTGAAGTAACGCAATAGTTTTTCAATCCTCAGAGTGCAGTATTTCGCAATACTATTGCGTTATTTCACAATACTATCGTTTTATATTGCAATGCTATTACATTAAAGCCCGGTTCACACTCGGCGCGAAAGCGAAAGCAAACGCGAATTTGTGACGTCATGGCAAGTATTCGCGCTGCGAATTCGCAAAAGTTGAACAGATTTCAAATCGGCGAATATCGCAGCGAATGTTTCATGACGTCAAATTCGCTTCGCATTCGCATTTGCATGAAGTATGAACAGGTCTTTAAAGGCTTGGCGCGAAAGCGAACGCGAATTTGTGACGCCAGGGCAAGTGATGCCAGGGCAAGTTTCGCAGCGAACGCTTTATTTCTCCATACTATTAATAAATGTTATTGCATTTTTGCAATGGTAGGTATTGCATAATAAACTTTTGTAGTGCTTTGCAAAACTATTGCATTATTTCGCAAAACTACAGGGTGAGTACAAAAAAAAACACCCGAAACCCAAATGTCGGGACCATTGTTTTTGGTGAAGTTCTGCATGTAGCATTTTCAAAATCTAGGATATGAGAGCCCGATTTATAAGCTTTCTTTAGTACAAAAGGCTGCCGTACCACATCCCAAATGTCGGGACCATTGTTTTTGGTGAAGTTCTGCATGTAGCATTTTCAAAATCTAGGATATGAGAGCCCGATTCATAAGCTTTCTTTAGTACAAAAGGCTGCCGTACCACATCCCAGGTTTAGCAGACATAGCGCCAAGCTCTATGAGGAATACACCGCCATGTTTGAAAGAGACCCCATTGCGGAGGAAACTACTGCAAGAGGCAAAGAGCTAAATTGCCAACATCTCCGATGAACGGCGGCAATGTTGGATTTCTCTCATTGAAACCACAGACATGTCTAAGAACAGTAAGAAAGCCTGGGCACTCGTCTAAAAGCTAGGCAACGACCCAAAGAAGCCTAACCAACATCACAACTTAACAGCCAATCAAGTGGCACATCAACTACTTCTCAATGGCAAGGCACCTAAAGCAAAGAGTAAACCCAAACTAAAACCCAATAGGACAAAATACAAGGATGACCCAAGTTTCACGAAACCTTTCTCCATGTCAAACTTGAAACTGGCATATCCAGCCTCTAACCAGGGAAGGCTATTGGATTGGACAACACTGCCACAGAAAAAAATCAAGCATTTTGGAACTAAAGCTCCTGCAACTATTCAACAATTGTATGGAAGGCCTGAAAATCCCCAAAATTTGGCGGAAAGCACACGTAATGGCGCTTCTGAAACCGGGCAAAGACCCATCCGACCCAAAAAGCTTCCGGCCGATCTCTCTCCTGTGCCACCCCTACAAGCTTTTTGAAAGACTCATCCTGAACAGAATCGCTCCACATATAGATGAACAACTTATCCCTGAACAGGCAGGCTTCTGACTACGGAAGTCCACCACTAGTCAACTCCTCAGCCTTACGCAACACATAGAAGATGGCTTTGAGCAAGGAATGATAACCGGATCAGTTTTTGTAGACCTATCAGCTGCCTACGACACTGTAAATCACAGACTCCTCCTATGTAAAATACTCGATATTACCAAAGATGTCCATCTCACAGATCTCATAGAAGCAATGCTTTGTAACCGACGCTTCTTTGTTGAACTTGAAGGAAAACGCAATAGATGGGGGAGACAAAAGAACGGCCTTGTATAATATCTACACCAACGACCAACCGAGATATGGCCATACCAGGCGCGTCATCTATGCAGACGACCAGTGCGTTACCTCTCAAAGTAAGACTTCAAAGAGGTGGAGAACGTCCTTACCAATGCCCTCTCTGCACTATGTGGCTACTACGAAGAGAACATGCTAAGAACAAATCCATCAAAAACACAAGTGTCTTCTTTCCATCTTAAGAACAAAGAAGCAAACAGACAACTCAAAGTCACACGGTCTAGTACAAAGCTACAGTACACAACTAATCCAGTTTACCTTGGATGAATATTGGACAGAAGCCTAACCTATAAGGCCCACGTTGAGCAAACCACAACGAAAATCAGCACCCGCAACAACATTCTCAGCAAACTCACCAGCTCCAGATGGGGAGCATGCCCTACTACACTGCGACCCAGAGCACTCGCCCTCTGCTTTTCAACAACAGAGTGTGCTTGTCCAGTGTGGGAACGATCTACACATGTCAAGAAGCTAGATTCCGCTTTAAACGCAAGTTGTAGATGTATAACAGGCTGTCTTAAGCCTACAAACTCTGAGAGCCTTACATACTCTCTGGCATCTCACCACCAAATGTCTTGATGGCAGTGGCCAGTGGAGCCGAACGACAGAAGCAAGTCATGGATGACATACACTCACTATACAGGCATATACCCCCACCGAGCCGACTCGAGTCACGCAACAGTTTTCAGTCAACTGTAGAACCCCTTCATACCTCTACAGCAGAGGCACGCCTCAAAACGTGGAATGGAAATCTCGCCAACCTCACACAACAATTGGACATGAAAATCCCTGCTGCTGAAAGTCTCCCTCGAGGTGCCGAGAATAACTGGCCTATTTAGAAGGCACTCAACCGCCTTCGCACCAGAGTTGGCCGATGTAGGGAATCACTCAATAAGAGGGGATACACTACATGTCCAACGACATGCGACTGTGGAACAGAATCTCACACAATGGACCATCTCATGAGATGTCCGCTGTTGTCAGAGCCTTGTACCTCCAAAGATTTAGCCAACAACACCATCACGACACAGGTCTGTGCTCAACACTGGTCGAGAACAATTTGAGTAGGACACGATAGAAGTACAAGAGTAATTGAAATCACTCATGTGACGTTCAAGTTACGGAATTTTAAACACAGCCACCGTTTTAAACGGATCACACAAAGGTAAATGTTGTTTAAGCAAAGCGAAAACAAATCACATAGGGATGTGTGTGAATTGTCTTCGTTTTGCTGAAAGAACGCACACTTCGCTTGTTCGGTTTTGGGCAGAGTCCTAAGACATAAGTCCTCAAGGCTCGGGGGAGTTTGGTGTGGTCTTTTGCGGGCACCACACTTGCTTCACTTTCAGATCCATCACGGACGGACTCCTTTAGCTTATACCAGTAGAGCTGGCGTTTTGTCTTTCTGATTGTCTTGTTTGACACCAAGATGAGCAGATGTTACGGCATTATGGGTAGCTCGTAAGTTGTAACACAGTATTTTTCAGCTAGTCGAGGACTACGAGCTGAAGATATGACTTTGTTCTGTCGGAAGTTACCGCCGTTCATACAGTATTCCGTTCTGCAAGGTCTTTGACGAGCCACTGTGTCTCTACAGGGACGTTGGGGTGATTGACCCAACCACTCAAGTACAACTTTCAGTTCTGAGTCTGCTCTTTGCATCGCAGCAATTTTCTCCGTGGTACATAAACGTTGACCCACGATGCGGTATGTCCGTCACTTGAAACGGTGTTAGTGACCATGGTGGCACGATCGCCTGGAAAATCTCTGTCTCTGTCATCCGGCTTTTCAGTCAGATTAGATTGTTCTGCACTTTGCAATCCGGTACTTACACCGGTACTGCATTCTTGCCGGGAACAGAGGG